GTTTTTCTGTTTGTTTTTGTATGTCAGCTTTCATGGAAAGTTCTGCAACTGACAGTCTTGTTATCGTTCTGCTCCTTCATGGTCAACCGATGCACTGCTGAGGAACTCAGCCACTCATGGCTTTCTGAAAAAAAGGGGTGACAGCTTTTCCTCTCTATTGTGGTCTCTGTCTGTCTGCCTGCTTGTCTGTCTCTTTCTCCCTCCCTCTCCGTCTCTTTCTTTCTCTCCCCGCTGCCCTTTATTACAAAGCCAGAGATGTTTTCCTACCTTTCTTAAAGAAGCCCCTCTATTGTTTCATGTTCTAGTTGAAATTAGTCCTTGAAAACTGGCTTTTATTTTTTTAAACCCAAACTCTTTCTGATCTTTATCTATCGAGAACCAAAGTCCGAGCAGTTTCTATGCATACATCCACAGTGGCTGTGCTATGGCCAAACCACAGCAATTTCTTTCTGAAGGCAATTCAATCTACTGCCAATCCCATGTCTATCCTGCTCACTGCCGTCGGTCTCACCTGGTCTTTTGAGCTCACAGAATTGCTTTCTAATTCTGAGTCACTGCTAGCTCATTGTCAAAAACCAAGCCCATATACGTCAATTCATTCATCAATTCTTTGATTTCTCCGCAACCAGCCACCCACCTTACCCACCCACACTTCACTTCATCTTCTCCTATGCACATCAATTGTGAATCACGGCTCTGCTTTTCCACTTTAATGATTTATTCAACGGCCCAGGCTCCACCATAACAGCCCCAAGGAGGAGTTAACACGTGTACCACTTACATTGGAAGGAATGGCTGCCATTTGTAAAAACGTAATATTAAGAACCTTGATTTATTCCCACTAGAGCTTGATTTTGAACCCAGAGTAAAGGTCCACTCTCTCCATTCTATTATAACCTCGGGAGAGCTCTGTCATTTTGTAATGCTGTAAAAGTCCAAGAAGGCTCTGCCTCCTTTCTGTACATCACTGTCATGATTTGTTGTTACTGAAATGAAGCAGCACTGTAATTGTACTTCCCAAGGTCAACTGTCAGAAAAAGCGTTCACATTGAGGTGTGCCACACACTTGAGGATTATAAAGCTGACCTGATTTGGTACTTTTCATTTCTGGTCTTGTCTCATTTTTGACAGTAATGATAATGACAATAATAATAGCTATTGTTTTTGTCATTACTTAGTATTTACTTAGGACGTTCTTTTTTCAGAATTTGGGGTAAAACTCAAGGTCTCAGGTCTCATATATGCTAGGCAAGCACTGTACTGCTGAGCTACACCTCCAGCATTAGGATGCTCTTTTTGATTGACAAAAAATAGTTCCTGCACCATATGATGCCATGTTGCTTGCTTTCTTTATGATTGCTCAGTGAGAATTTCTCTCTCTCTCTCTCTGTCTCTCTCACACACACACTACCAAGAACTGAAGACTTTCAGCAAGGGATCACAGGGAAGAGACCCCCACTTACTTGCTTCTTGGTTTACACAAAACTAGGGAACAAAAGCATCAGCAAGAGCCCTGTGGTTGCTGTCATGTTAATGTCTAAAGGCCCTAGAGCAGTGTGGGTAATACCTTACTCTGCGTTCTATATGTGCATCAGCCAATGAGGTGTAAGTATTGTGCCCATGGAATGCAGCCAGTACAATAGGAGAGCTGAAGCCTTAGCTGTATTAATTTTAATTAACTTAAATTTAAATAGCCACATGTGGCTTGTGGGTCCTTTATTCAGTACTGCAGCTGTAGATGCCTGGACCCACTCTACCATCTCAAGGTTTTAATCTCCTTCTTTAAAGATCTGAGTGTGATCATGCCCCAAACTCTGTTTCTGATCAAAGCACCTGAGAATGTTTGTAGAAAATTCACAAACTCTAAGGGCAACACTTTCATTGTAGTTACAGAGAAAAGGCCAAGTGGCTTCTCAGAGAAGAGGGGAAGGCTCCTCCGCCACCACCAGGGGTCACTGAATTTGAAGCAGAGTCCCCAGGGGTTGGGATGAACCCACTCCAGGCAGCTCAATCACAAGTGAAGAGCTAAAAAAAGAAATTTTGAGTGGCTTGAAAGACTATCTTGAAAAACAAAACCAGTGGAATGAAAGCAGTGGGTGTCTTGTCAGCCTGGAGCAACCATTACCACTAGCCAAAAAAACAGAACTAATTACTGGCTTAAAAGGAGAAGGGGGGCGAGGGGTAAAGAGAGAAATGGCTAAAGCAGAAACTATCTACGGAATGTAAGTAGTTTCCCAACACTTCTACTCTGAGGGCCTGCGCATGACGTTTCACCGTGGCTCTTCTCTTTCCTCCCTCTCCTCCATCCTCAGTGCCTTGATCCCTGACGAAGACCCCTTCCTCCTGAAATTTAACGATGTCTGTTTTCCTGTCTAATGAGGGGATACAGCACATGGTTTTCCCTTCTTCAGCAGAATGGTCACTCTTTGCGGAGTGACAGGGTGGGTGACACAGTGGCTTTCAGGTTGGCCTCAGCCTCTCCAGCCACTCCGAACCCATTAGCATCTGCACAGCTGCTTCCTTTCTCCCAACTGCCCCTCAGGGCCTCATTTTTTTCTTTTAAAGAAAGGACCACCCTGAACAGAAAGGGTGTTGTGTCTTTTGCTTCCGGTTTTGGGGTTTTTTTTTTTTTGTAAGCAGAAGGAAAATGGAAAATACAGAGAACAGGTTTTAAAATCAGAGGACAGAGGGAAGGGCCCTGAGTAGCATATTATGGTTTTGTTTCCTGGAAGCAGGTTCCAAGTGCTACTTTCCCAAATTTTCAGGATTCCTCTGGAAGAGGAAAATAATTGTTTTCCTTCTAGCAGTTTCGTACGGCCCCAATTTTCTCTCTGTCCTCATCCATTCAGCCAAAGGTTGGAATTCTGCCTGCATGGTGAGCTCCTGGGAAAGGCCCTCCCAGGCCTCAGGCTGTAATACATCAACAAGAATGAGGACAGACACTGGAATTCCCACCCAGTAGCAGAAGTCCGTGGAGGGGCCTTCGGGTGTGGGCGGGGCGGCAGAGGTGAAGCGAAAGAGCCGCGCAGGCCGGGGTCACGGGAGGTGATAGGAGGTCCTCCAGAAATGCCGCTTGCTGGGCTGACCTCCGACACTTTAGAGACAACTTGCTTAGAAGAGTTCAAGGGAGGAGACCAGAATTATTAGAAAGAACCTGAAGATAGGCCCTGAGTCAGAGACAGGGAATCTCCCCACACCATAGAGAGCCATTTACACAGCCTTCTCTTCAAGGTGTCTCTGCTGACCCGCACCTTGCACACACCCCTCCCAGAGACCACCATGCACTCACTCAGATGCTACATACAACACACACACACACACACACACACACACACACCCCAACCTTCCTTGCATTTGGATAAAAAATGGGGGCTGGGAAAACCCACCAATTAATTGGATGCAGTCTCAAAGGAGAGGAAATGAAATGAAAAATCCAGGCTGAGTTATAAAAATAAGTATTTTTTGCCAACATGCAAGAGGCTCATTATATTAATTAAACATTATTGCAGCGAGTCAGAGGGGGAGGGTGATTAGGGCTGGGACTAGGTAAGTGAGCGCTCTCTCCCATGCCCCAGGCCTCGGGCAACTCCCATACTAAACTCTCCGAGCACTCAAATGTGGAAGAGATAAACACTTGAAATATGAAAATGTTTTTCTTCAGGGCAGACTGCTGTGACCCTCCGGAAACGAGCGAGGACTGTGTCGGGGGCATGGCCTCAAGTGCTCTCCTAGCGCCTGGCCCTGGAGACAGGGACACCGCTGGCCCTTGGAGGAAGCATAGAAGGGCAGCCCCTTCTCCCTGCTCTTTTCTAGCCTTCACCTACATATACCGCCAATATTTGGTCTACTAAATTTCCCTTTCCTTTCAAATGCTTGGGGGACCCAAGGTCCAGGCTGGGGTTGTAGAAAATTGAAAGATAATGGTGGCAAACCGGGCCGACATGTACCAGCTTGGGAGGGCCACTTGCTACATTTTTCATGCCAGTTAAATGTAATCATTATTAAAACTAAATTATAGTTACAATAAATTACATTAAAAACAAAAGGTAATACATACCCCAAACTCCACACTTTCCCCAAGTATTTTAATGCATTTTCACTTGCATCTCTGCTTTCCAGGTTATGTATATTTACTGTATCTGTACAATGGGAAAACACTCCCTCATGCCCGATTACTGTAGCGCACAACTCTGCCTCCAGTGCTGTGTTGGTGGTTTAAAATGAGCTGTGGTAAGAGTATTTACACTACTGAAAGTGGCAAATGTTACCAAGATCCTGGTTTTCTTCCAATCCTTGGGAAACCTGTTGTCAAACATTTACAGAACACCAGTTGTACAGCATGCAACAATCTAGATAGTAAATAACTTGCTTCTTCCTGGTTAGGAGGGCTGAGGGCAAACCAGTGCCAGGACGAGCTCCAGAGATATGGCTCTCTGAAACCCAAAGGTAGGCTTAACAATAACTCAAGGACTGGCTGCACTCATCCTCCAGAGGCCAAACGCAGCGCTGCTAGACACAGCCATGGCCATTGCTGCCTCGGGCACGGCAACATTTCAGTCCCTGGATGTGGCTGGCTCTAGGACTGGTGATACCCTCAGAAGCTTCAGGCAGATTCAAGGCCTGTGGTTTTCCAGTGAGCCACTTTAGGAACAATATTTAGCTTGAAGTTGACAGGTGACTGTGACAGAGGTGCAATGGGAACAAGGGGACACCAGCGATTCCATCCATGTCCAAGGTCCTCCCAATTGCTCCTTCTTTCTTTTCTCTTGGCCTCCCCCTCTCTCTCCCAGCTTTCAGGCTGTGCTGTAATCATGAAAGTGATGGGGATCACCAAATGGCTAGTCTGTGTGGTGACGTCTTAGGCAAAGATTGTGGTGGTTTGTGGACACAGAACAGAGAATTGCAGGGCAGGGAAGTTATGAAGCTTGCAAAGGAATCCAGGGTTGTATGTGCAGTGGGCTAGCTTATATCTGTCATTTCCTGACCTGGAGCTGGCTCACCTGGAAATGTCTGGTCGCTGGGGCTGGAGCTGCTGGCCCAGGTGCTTCTGAGCCACTTGGCATGGTCGTACATCCACCCACAGGGCTCCTCAGGGAAATCAAAGTTGCAATTGAATCCTGAAGGAAGCTGCAAATCTTTGTCTAAAAAGGGGAGAAAAATAACTCAAAGGAAGGCAAATAAAATTGGTCCAGAGAGCAGCCGCAGTGGTGCTATTTAAATGGCTGGCAAGGCCTGAGTGGAGAGCAGAGAAAGAAGTGGCTCCCTTTGGCTTATTCATTTAACTCCTCTTGGCGATCACTGGCTTGCGGGTCAGGCTTTGGTCTCATCCTTCCCAGGCGTGAAAGCCAAGTCTGCCAATGGTTCCCATAGTAAGCAATTATAAATGAGGCCACCAAATGGCTTCAGGCTCTAATCAGCCTCTTCTGTCTGCCCCAGAGAGCAGACAAATGTGAAAATTGCTGTTCCCTAAATGCCAAAGAAGAATGTCTCCCCAATGGAAGGCTGGCTCCCAAAAATGTATCATCTCATCTCCTGCCAACCTGGCTCTCAGAAGTGATGGAGCAGCCCATTAGCATCCAGAGGGGCTGAGGTGCCTGGGAGGTTCTGGCTGGTGAAAAGAAAGTGACCTCAGAAACAAGGGAGGCTTGTTTGCTACCCTCATCTCTTTATGATCGTCTCTCATTTCAGAGGATCAGGACAGTAAAGCATCTCCCCCACCAGGTGGCCAATTCAACATGTCAGGAGCAAGACAAAGGGTCCAAACTGGCAGGCCACCCAGTATAGGGCTCACTAGACTGAGAAATAATTTTACACGGTGCTGAGTCCCTCCAAGAAGGGGTCCCAGGGGAGACTGAGAACGTTCCCCATGGGAATCTAAGAAGTGATCACATAATGGCTGGTCCTATCTGCTTTGGAGGTTCACCTGGCTTGGTTCCAAGATGGAACCAAGAGGGTCTCTTTTGGGTTCTGCCCACCCCCAAAGGTCCAGTATGAGCTAGTGCTGAACACATGATTAAGTGGAGGTGCAGAAAGAGGAAATGGGAACCCAAATTTGGATGCTTGCCGGCAGTGGCTGCATAGACAGCAGAAAAATCCTGGCTAATGCTGGCATCGGGGAGGAAGTAGGGTCTTTGGCTTTGTCATTTCCCTTCCCAGGGTTCCCAGAGGAGAATTTCTGAGAGGAAGTTTCAGAATGCAGGCTAGGAAGTCTAAAGGGGAAAACAGACTGTTACGGACAAATTGCTTACCATGGGGACATGGCGGCTTGTGTCTAGGAAACAGGGTAATGGGACTTCGGGCAGGAGGCAGATTGCCAGCAGACCTGGCTGTGCCTCACCCAGGACAGCATATTTAACATTTGCCCACCCTTGGCCAAATTCAGCTTAAGTTGAGAAGAAACACATGGAATCTATTACAGAAGCATCAACCTGTGGCTTGGAAAAGTCAGCCCTTAGCTCTCACATTCCCTTCTCCCTACAATTTCTGAATGTCTATTTTTCTGTTCAAAAATATAAAGTAATTCAATATACCATAATTCTTCCCTAATGTTTACATGCATACCGTATCTCAGGAACCAAATTCCACAAAAAGATCTTTTGCAGAGGAAAGAGAGAAGGGTGGAATCATCAAAGAAACCTCAAATCAAACAAACCACTATAAACGGTAAAATTATATTAAAAATAAACTTCGGAAATTTTTCAGCAGAACCCTGAAATTTTCCTTTGGATTGTCATTTAGCTAGAATCCCCACCCCCAGTCCTCCAACAAATTAACTCTTCAAATCTAATATCATATGTTAACTCCCTATGCTTTCCAATTTTGGAAAGCTCTCTCAAACTGTCTTAAACATGTCTTGGAAGATTCTTCAAGTTTCCTTCTTCGCTTCATAAAACAAAAACAAGCTCATTAAAATGTCACAATTCTGTATTCAACTAACCCCAACCAACAGTGTTTTTCACCCACAATACACAAAAGCACATTCCCCAAAAGCATACGCATTAAATTAGCATTTTTCAGTCATACGACTTCAGCATTTAATTTTGGCTCTTCTCCCATTTGTAGTCGCCATGTTTCAGAGCCACCACTAGATCTACAGACTTCTTCATACCATCCAATGGCCATGTGTGCAGGTTTCACAGACTGAACCACTCATCTACTTCTTTATGCCCCATCTCCAGTCTCTTCATCAACCTTTCCTCATTTTACTTAATAAATATTTAATAACAGCCAGTAACTTAGTGTAAATCGAGGCTGTCAAACTTAAATTCCAGACAAAAATGCCAGGTGTTCCAAAATGTGGTTTGTTAGGAATGTCCTAATACTTGGTGATCTTAAGGGTATGATTTAAGATGTGACTTACTTTTGGGCCCTGTCAATTATTATTTTTATCTAACTTGGACATACTTAGAAGATAAAATAAAGGGACAACAGGTTCCCCATGTGAAGAGATGATCCAAAAGCAGGATCTCCTGAGTTTGGGAGGGGGATTGAGGATGCCTTTCCACAGGCCACCTTGTCTCTAACCCGCATTCGGGCTGAGAGGGTGGACTACTCCTGGAGAAGCATCACTACAATATGGTCTTAAATCAGTGGTGCTGAAAGACACAGGGAATAAGTCATACAGTTGGACATTAACCTGGACATCGCGCTCCATGAGCCCAATCACCCAGGTGATTGTCAGGTCCCCATTAGATGGTACTGTGGAGACTCGGCCTAACAGGCTAAAATGTCACCACTGTGAATTCCAAGACTGGAAACAGCTTTCCTTTAACAGGAGAAGCAAGACAGTGAGGCCTGAGCTGTGAGACTTCTCACAGGAGGTTCTCTTTGGAGGCACCTTAAGTCACCTGGTACCAGCTGGTCATGCCTGTATGGCAGTTCTGGTTATCACAATATCTAAATACATATCTATATGGACAGTAAAGAACCAGTACCCCAAGCCTCTGAGTATCTGCACCTCTTAGATCCTTTCCCCGAGGCCCGTGGACCTCTGACCCCAAGTCCCCTCCCAGTCATAAGCCAGCCCCATTGTGTCTGGCCCATACTCATTCCCTCCTAGGTGAATGTGATCCCCACCCCCTTCCTCACCATCCTCAAAGCTGCAGTTCTCTCCACACTCTGTGGCCTCCTCCTCGATCGGGTATGGGGTGGTGGTCTCTTCGCTCTTTACAGTAGGTCCCAATGTCTCTACTGTGGGCTTTGAGTCTGTATCAAGGCAAAGGAAGTGAAGAACAGTTTAGCAGCCTGTACTGCAACCCTGGATGGGGCAGATGCCCAAAATGAAGTTTTCTCTCTAAGCGTGAGTGTCTGAGAACGAAAACAAAGATGCACATGTGCACAAAACTCCGAGGTCACCTTTGGTGTGGACAAAGCCAGGTGTATCACCCAAGTTGAACGAGAACAATCTAGAGCTGCAGAAGCAGCTGTGAAAGAGACATGTGCTCTCGACCCCACAGCAGAGGCTCTGAGGTCAGCACAGCAGCCTTTGCAAGCCCTCAGGCTTCTCTCAGTCAGACAGGACTATTTAGGACTAAAGCTAACCCTAGAAAATGTTCTGACCTACAGGTCCACCTGTAATAAGACAGTCAGAAGCAGTATCGCTAAAGCCGTAAGCAAAATCCAGCATCTGGGGAAGCATGTGTTAGGGTTTGCACAAAGCTGGATGGATAGGAATATGGGTTTAAAAGGACCCCAAGTCGGCTTGGGGAGAGCTGTTTGGAGCTGTTCCTTTACGTCAGGGGGTGGCAAATTCAAATGGTTCCTGGATCCAAATAGCTGTCAGTCTGGGAAGTAGACTGGGCTGGGAAGAGAGTAAGGTGTAGTGGGAGTTGGGGCAGCCAGGATCTTGCATGCCTGGTTAAGAGGAGGCTACCATTATTGGTTCCAGCAGATTGAGGCTTCTGTGTGGAGGAGGTGGCTTAACCACAGACAACAGTGCAAAGGAGCATGTATAGAAATGGGAGGAACAGCAGGGGATTTAGCTCAGTGGCACTGAGCCTTCCTTGCAAGTGCAGGGTCCTGAGTTCAATCCCTGGTACAAAAAAAAAAAAAGGAACAGGAGGAACAATAGAATAGCCAGGTCTTCCAAGAAGTTTTTTCCCTCCACAAGAAGTCAGAAATTCCCATGTCATATCTACAGGCTCATAAATGCTGGAAACTTGTTCAAAATGTTATAATAAGTATGCAATAAAACCTGGCGAGGCCAAACCTGGCTGCAGACAGTTGGTCTTGACCTGGGCTCTAGATGATTCATTCATCCATTCATTGGCTTGTTTATTTGCTCAAGGCAGACATTCATTCAGCAACCATTTGGGAAATGAATGGATCCATGAGTCAGGTCCCGGGTGGGGTGCAAAGGATTATGAAAACTGGCACTCAGGCCTACATGTTGTGGGGTGGTGTCTTCCTTCCAGAACTATCCAACAAGATAGCCCAAGGATGTCGTGCATTGTTCCTCCCATTTCTATGCATGCTCTTTGCACTACTGTACACAGTTAAGACTCCTTTGTCAGGCACCCTTCAGGATACCATTTAATAGAGCTAGGAGCTGAAGGAAATTGCTAAATATGCTGAATAGTTTTTCACGGTTGGCTTCCCTCCTTTTTGCTATTAAATACTATGCGCATAACCTTGCATACTTCCCTTTGCCATGTCTGCCTCTTGCTCAAAGTAAATAGCAAATAACCTCAAAGCGTCCTAATTTGTAAGTGCAAATTTGTCACTGCGTCATAGAATCTTAAACTCAATTGTAAAGCAAACTATGAGTGGCAAGGGAAGAAGCAATCATTTGAAACACAAACAAACCAACAGGTGAAGAAATAGCCCTGTCAAACTATTTAGTTGGACAGCTCAACTCATCACATTATTTTTTTCATTACCTTTTCTGGGGAAGGAATGAAGAAGGGAATAAAACATGAGTTAGAGAAATAGATGAAAATTGGAAAAGAAAAAAAATCCACATGACTTAAGGGGAACAGTTTCCAGAAATGTTAGGTAGCAAGGTGGGTCAGCTGGTCAGTGCAGATAAAGTTAAATCCAGGGGCACTGGAGGCCAGTGAGGTGAAAAGAGGGCCAGGCGTGTAAACGAAAGGGAAGAAAGAGCAGACAGCCCCGGTGCCCATGTATTTGTACTGGGTGCTCTAGAGTAACTGCCCATCAAACAGCAGCTTTCCCTTGAATTGAAACCAGATGTCAGACTTCAAAGGGAAGGAGGCTGGGCAGAGGGGTAACTTGCCTCAATTCTGATCTTCCCAGGGCCAGGCAGGCTTTGAAATGGGAAACCTGTTGCTCACCGTCACCAGTGCCATTTGGGGCAGGTTGGGGTGGAGAGCACAATCAGGGACCGAGGTCATTAGTAACTGTCCAGCTAGTCCTGAAACTGGGCCAGCCTGGGAAGATAAAGGACTGGACAAAGGATTGGAGGGAATTATGAGTTGGCCCCCACCTCGCCGAGGAACCTCTGGAGGGTGGCTTCCTCTCTCTAGGCTCAGTTTCCTCATCTGTCCAAGAAGATTTGTCCTGGCTGTATGATTTTTTTTCAAACTGTATGTCACTCTGATCATACCGAGTTGATTGTAGGTTGTGGAGTCAATTTAATGGGTCATGATGAGACTTAAAAATAAGAACTAAGGATCAGGGATTTAGCTCAGTGGTGCCGAGCCTGCCTCGCAAGTGCAAGGTCCTGAGTTCGCTCCTTGGTATTGAAAAAATAAATGTCCTGACTCATGTCAGGTCCAAAGGATACAAATGAGAACTCTGTTATTTCACAGTGCACTGGCAGGTAAGGAGGAGCACTGCTTTGGGAGCCTTTTGTTCCTGTCACATTTACCTAGAACAGGTTTGCGAGGCTACAATCTAAGTACTTCACATTGATGATATTTTATGTAACCCTCATAACAATCCGAGGGGTGCAGATTGACTATTACCATATCCATTTTCCTGCTGAGACACTGAGGCACTTGTCTGAAGTTATACAACCAGCAATGGTAAGGAAGGACTTGGCTTTAGCCACCTGTGTCTGGAATACAAGCACTTCACCAGGCATCACACCCCATGTGCGGACATGGGTGTGTTTGTAAGTGAAAGAGTTGCTAAAAAGATTTATTTTAAATAGTGGGTCATAATCAAATATATTTGGAGGCCACTGGCCTAGACTCTCCGGCTGCTCTACATTGCTGACTCCTGGCTCTAAGGTGGTTACAAATGAAGCCAGTTTGTATGAGGTGGGGTTCAGTACCTGGAGGCCCTGTGTTGCACCTTCAGCATGCTGCTGGAAACTGGGCCTCACCCTGCATAATGGGAAGCAAGTGTTTTCCTACCAGGATGCCCTTCAGTCTCCGATTCCAAGGTGAGAGGTGCTACCTTGGGCCTGGCTCCTGGGTTGTGTATCTTAACAGGGCCTACTTTGCCCTCATAGCTGGCTCACAGGCAATGATTTTCTCCTTGGGAGCCAAAAGCACTTCTCAGGCATGCCCTTTCTAATCCTTCATGCCATCCTGCTGGGTGAGCTGGTGACAGGAAAATGGGGATTCCTGGGGCCCTGGCGGGGAGGGGCAGGCCAGCTCAGCCTGCAGGCAGCTTCTGCCACACTGGGCTGGGCCCTGAGACCCGGGTGGCTTCAGAGGATTGGGCGAGTGAGTTCGGGGAGAGGTCTAGGCCCCCCCCCCTGCTGTGGGAGGTGGGTGGGGGTGAGGCCTGACTCAGAAGGGAAGGGTTGGGGAGCACGGCTGGCCACACCTGCACAGGGAGAATCAGAGGCTCTGCTCCAGGCTTGTGACACCTGCTGGGTGGGCACACTAGGAAGAAGTCCTGTTCCCATGAGCTGTCCTGCACCAGGCTCCTCCTGAGCAAAGAAATGCCTTTTACAGATGTGGCTTCGCAACGAAAAGGCAGTTTCTTAGCTACTGACATCTGGAGGCCAGATTCAGACATAAACTGATTACCTTATTATCATGAGGGGTTTTTCTTCCCTAAACCAACAACCACAGCCCTCTGTCCTGAAGAGTCAGGGTCTAATTGAATTTGGGTCGGTGGTGTGTGGTTAGGATTTGTTTTTGAGAGGACCTGGGTTGGAGAACTGAAGTGATCCTTTAAAAAAAAACAAAGCATATCCCCGGAGAAACTGTCCACGTCTAAAGGTATCTGAGAACACAGAGCTGGTAGCGTCTGCAGTTTCCAACTGACAGGGCTTCACCAGGGTGGGTGTCCTTGCCCCAATCCTGGGCCTTCTAGGACACGGGGTCACAGGACCACATGAGGGAGACCTGGAGAGGAAAGCAGCGGTACCTGTCCAGTCGCAGCCCAGCACCTCCAGCCGCATGCCGATGCCTGCTGGCGACCACCTCTCTGGGTATACACGCACATACTGGGCAGGGACAGGGTCGAATCTTCGGATGTCAGGGCTGTCGTAATGCACGTTCCCTTCAAACAGCTGCAGAAAGACAGGTCACTCAGCCCTTTTTGTGTGTGATCCATCTCCACCTGCCTTTATACCATGTCCCACCCAGAGAGTAGCTTCATGGTTGAATTCACGGGACATTCCTACCCACAGGAGTTCCACACTCACACCAAGGTTCTTACGTATTTGGAAGGTCACAGTGGCCCAGAAATATGGAGCAAGCAAAAGTGGCAATTGTTAGGTAATGTCTTTTATCCTGGGATGGACACTAAGCACCCAGGAAAGAATTAGGCTCCAAATGTGTTTGAAGCTGACTTTCCTAAAAGAGGAAAAGGCAGTTGTAGGCTATCTTGACCATTCTTTGGTTTATTGAGAAAGAAATGCTTCTTTCTCTAATGTCTGAAAATCTACACTTAATCAGTTCCATTGGTTGGTAGTTCCTACTTCATTGAAAGCCTAAAGGGAAACTGACCACTCTCTTCCCCAGGCTAAGGACTGATTCCTCTGGTCACACATGGATGTTTGAGACTATCTCAAACCTTTGTTCAGTGGAAGCAATTCTATCAGAAGAAACCTCTGTAGAGTCCCTTGTGGGCTGCCCCGGTTGAAGTTGGTGGCCATTGGATTATGCTCCAGGAATACAGCAGGGCCAGCCAATCTATAAGATGCCTGGGTCCCCAGTTCCAAATGAGGGGCACTGTCTTAGCAGGACAGGCTCTGATCCTAGCCAAGATCACTTCCTTTTCTAAGGAATCAGCTCTCCTGGGGAAGCTTGTGGGCCAATTTCTGCTCCATTCACCGAAGGTTCCAGTTACCAAGCCCTGAGCCTTCCCAAGCCTCTGGAACTGTGAATTGAGAGTTTACATCTGTACTACAAAGCTTCTGACTCAGCTCTGGCTTCTGCGTTCAGAATGGAAACTTTTGCTTAGCTAAGGTGGCTGACCAGAGACATGCAATACCCCTTTCCTTTTTAGGAGATTTGTCTTCTGAAGACAAGAGGCAATTTCAAAGTGAGGATTAGAGTGGCTGGACAGAGTCATTACAATGAATCTGAAGAAGGACGGAGGTCTGATATCCTCTCCCCTCCTTGGGGCTTCTCATGCCCTGATTGAAGGCTGGCCTTCACTTTTCTGATGGCAAGGGCTGGGCACAAGGGTTTCTCTCACTTCTTCCCATTCTCAATATGAGAGGCAGGAAAGATCTAAGAAGTCAAGACTAGGAAAACACAAAGTGGCATAGTAATATTCGAAAAAGGTTATCTTTGGAAGTAAACCTCTAGTTTCTACAGTTTGGCGTCCAGCAACCACATCCCCTTGGGATGTCTGGATAACTTCAAAGAAAGGATCTTGGACTTTATAAACAGGCAGTGTCGAGTAGTGGTTAGGAGTCTGGGTTTTGGGGTGAGATTTGTGGTTTCTGAATCATAGCTTGTCTCCTGGTAAACCTGTGACCCTGGATATGATATCAAGTCTCAGTTTTATCATCTCTAAAATGGGAGTGACAAAAAGGTTGACCTTACAGAGACACGGGGGGTGGGGGCTGAGGGTCTCAATAAGGAATTAAGCAGTATCTGGCACCAAGCAGCCTCTCAATTGATAGTTTTTCACTGTGTTAGATGAATTTGATGACAGCATATCAAGACAGGAAATCAGCATGCCCAAACTCCCTGCAACCTGCTTAGCCTGCCTGTTGAAGGTAACATTAGCACCTACTAGGTATGGCCTACCTTTGGTTGCTGGGTCCTGGGGTCTGGGATATATTCCCAGTCTTTGCCATTCAGGCTGTAGGAGACTTTGAACTTGCGCACGAATGCCCTGGCTTCCACCGCTGTGCTGCTATCTCCTCCACGGGCCCCCTGGATGATGACCCCTTTCACCGTCTTAGGTGCTCCCAGGTCCACCTGCAGCCATTCTTCACCTGGCTGGGCCTGGGGGATCCGAGGGAACCAGCCCGAACGGCTGCTGATCAGGCGTGCAGTGCTAGGGCTCCAGAGGTACTCTTGGGTGGAGGAGGCAGAGATGTGGGAGTCAGGGATAAGGCCTGAGAGCATCCCCAGCATGTTGGAGCAGGGGGCATCTGCAGAGAAGGAAAATACCAGAGGTCATGGCTGGCTCTTACTGACTGGAGACAACCCCTGGGTGGGAGGCTGCAGGAGGCACCAACTAGCTAATCATCTAGGTCAGCACTGATTTCTTTGCAACACTTTGCATAGCAAAGTTCAGTTTGGAGCCTGAACTGTGAGCCAGTCTGTCTGGGTTCATGTTCACTCTGCCACTTGGTAGCTTGATGACCTTGGACAAATTATTGAATTGCTCCATGCCTCAGTTTCCCTATGTCTAAAGGAGGAGATAAAAGCAGGACTGAACTCTTGGGGGTTATAGTGAGGATTTTGTCCGTTGCTATAGAGTAACCCTTAGAACAGTGCCTGGCTTATGGAAGCATCTAAGAGCTGTGAGTTGTTTATGTTTGTGGCTCTGACCAAGGACTCTCAGAATGTGTATCTGCACGTCCGTTCCATCGCTCCAGTCCTCACTGACCCTTTTAATGACAGTGAGTGCAGAGCTCAGCTAAGCATGCTGATCAGGTAGATGGAGGCCTGTTTGGAGCCAGCATACAGTCTTTCCTTCCATATGAGTTGTCAGATCTCTTGGTTTCCTAAAGGCTCTTGCTACTTCTCCAAAAGCCTTTCCACTCTGTCATCCCTCAACCAACTTAGCCACCCCAAGGTGTAAACGTCATATCCTTAGAAAGGCTATCCCCAAACTCAATCCATGGTAAATTAGAGCCCCCAGGTACTCCTCAGCATTAACTAAATCTTTGCTAATTAGCCTTTGCTGGCCTGGAATAGCCTCACAGAAGGGACCAGAAACAGTCCTCTAGGTAGGATTAGGATGAGCTGCTCCCATGAGAGGGAAGCCAGGTCTCTGTGTAAAGGTGATAAGACAGAGAATTTGTGTTGAGAAATTCCAGGTGGAGGTTCCAGCTCCGCCACCTCCTAGTTGGGTGCTTTGGGCCAAGGTTTTATCTCCTGAGTCTTGGTTTCTGCATTGGTCCCTGCCCTCCTTGGGCTGCTAGGTAGAGTAGGCAAGATTGTGTACAAGAAAGGGGAGAGAAGTGTCTGAATGCAGAGGGCCACACCATGGAGGCAGAATTGGCAGGGCCAGGAGGCAGACAGGCAGAGGGATGGATGCAGAACACCTTCCCAGGACGAAGAGACGGAGCCCAAGGATGAAGGGATTGCGCTGTCCACAAAAGGCTGGCACTGGTTCAGCCACCAGTGCCTCTCATCAGCCTCCCAGAGCTGTCCCAGCTCCACTCTCACCCTCTGCAGGCTGTGCCCTTGGATTTCATCCCACACAGGCATGCTTCTTTTCCACCATATGCACCCTTGCACCTTGCCTGTTGGTCCTTCTCATCTCAGTGCCATTAAGCCAGCTGTGGCCTCGGCCTGGTTCGTTTCCCTTCCTGTCACCAGGTAGTGCTTGGCTGTCCTCCACCCTGACTCAACACCTTCTCAAAGAAGTCCTCCCTGACCTTCTAGGCTGGGTCAGCTCCTCTATGATGCACTTCCAGGTCTGCGACCCTCTGTTCCCAGACAGCATGGTCTTGATTTTACACTTAGTTATGAGTTTGCCTGTTTATTAATTTGTCTGCCCATCTGGCCCACATGTCCACACAGCTGGCCTGATGTGTTTGTCATTGTGTTCACAAGGCCATGCACAGCTCTTGGACTCTAATCGAGGCAGCAGAGAGAGCTATTTGACAGTGGAAGCTTTGGATTCAAATTACCTAGATTTAAACTCTTGCTCCACCACTTACTGGTGGGTGACCCAGCTCTTCTAACTCTTAGTTTCCTCATCTGTAAAATGAGGAGAATAGTAATACCTGCCCTAGAGAGTCCTTACAAGGATAAAAGATAACATATCTTCAGTGAGAATGGAAACTAGGATGTAGTCAGCAATTAATACATTTTAGTTAGCAGAAATAGTAGGTGCTTAATAAAAGCATACTGGATGATCCCAGCTCTCTGGCAGGCTGAGGCAGGAGGATCCCAAGTTCAATCCCAGCTTGGGCAGCTTAGTGATTTAGTAAGACCTTGTTTCAAAGTAAAAAATACAAAAAGGGGGAGAGATTAGCTCAGTGAAAAGGCTCTCAGTTTAACTTCTTGTACTGAAAAGAAACAAAAGAGACAAAACAATGATAAAACAGCAAACATACAGGAGGAATGAATGAATGAGTGAAAAGATGAAGCCAGATGGGACTTGAGTCCTTGAGCAGTCCTAGTAGGAAGACCATGTGGTGCAATCCTGCCCTTTCTGGAAGAGGGAGCAGATCCCTAGACAAAAGCTGCTGCCCCATCAGTGGGGCACCCGTCTCACCTGTGACCCGGCAGCCGAAGAGCTCCAGGCGCAGGGCAATGCCCGAGTGCCAGCTCTGTGGGCGGATCCTGACGAACCTTGTCAGCAGTGGGGCGTGCAGCTTGTTCAGAACCACCTCGGAGGCGTCGTTGTTGGCTTGGAACACCTGAAGAGCACCAGAGCACATTACTGGGATTCGCCAGGAGTCCTGTGTGTAGGGCAGGGGGGACTCGAGCAGCCTCCGAAGAGGTGAGAATGTTCTCTCGGGCTTTATTTCCCTCAAGCTTAAAAAATAATCAGGGGGTTTGTTATTCTGGGCTTTTCCAGAAGCACTGTGAAAAACATTTTAATTCTTTACACTACTCCAACTTAAAAACAATAAATGATCCTCATAAAAAATTTCAGAGGGAAGGAAACTTTTGCTTCTGGGCTGAGAGCAAGCAGGGGAGGGAGCCTTGAAAAAGAAAACATTTCAGAAGCTAAGAAAGAGAGGGACAAAAACAGAATGGCCATTAAAAATGAAGTGGACATATTATCTTTTAGGGTTTGTAGACCTCTCTCACTACCTTGAACTTGACACTCCCCTGGCAGGTATATAGGGACCTTCTCAGGGCGTTTTTATAATTTTAAAGTGCTCCGCAATCACTTTTTGACTTTTACCTCTTTGAATAAATTTACTTAAGACACATTCCCACTCCACAAGCAAGCGAGCTGGTGAGGGGCGCCATTCACCGCCATGCCCTCTGTCGACCAGCGTGTTTCTGCTCTTGCTGGTCTTTGTTTTAGGGTCAGGGTTGGGACAGTCCCTCAGAGTCCTCTCCAGCTCCATCTCACTGTGGTCCCCGCCCTGCAGTGAAATCCATCCCTGTCCCCAGCTGACCAAAATGTGTCTCATGGGAGGAAAGGCTTTTTGGAGTAGCTTCTGATCCAACATGGTAGGCGCAGTCCTGGCTTACCAGATGGCCCAAATCAATAACTGCCATATGAACCTTATGCTTTTTTTGTGCTCTCCATTAAAAAAACCCCGAAAAAACAACTGGAGCAAGTATATGCGAGGACTTCCCTAACAAAGGCAAAGGGAAAAATCAACCATCATTTCTAAATCACACCCGTCACAGCTACAACAACCAAAGGATCCTACTTAAACCTACTCACAGCCAACTCTGCCTTCATCTATTCAGGGGAACCGAATGCTTCAACTCATGATACCCAGGCTATGACAAATGTTTGAGGCACTGGCTGGGCCCAGACAAGGGAAGGGGGACACTGGAATATTCGTGTATCTTTGAGCCAGGCATTATGTAAACACAATTACTTCTCTGTCCCCCAGAAGGGAAGTATTACTATCTCTATTGATGAGGAAACAGGCTCAGAGATGCTGGTTTGGATCCATGGCCTGAAGCTTGTGGTTTCTTAGGTCGACTTTTATCTTTTTTAATAAATGAGCAGCATTTATGCTGGTTGCTAGGAGTCACAGTGGCCTTAAGGTCCCCAATCACGGGTGGAATGGAAATGGAGTTGCTGTCCACTGATGTGATCTCAGGGTGCATTCACAATTCCACCATGGAAAGGGTTTGGGCAACAGCGAAGAGCAGCAGAGCTGTAGAGAGGCAGTTAACAATGCAGACAAAGGTCTCCATGAACTGTGGATTCCACCATTTGGCAACTTTGAACCCTCCATATTTCCGATTAGCCAAGACTAAAAGTTAGAGTCATTTGTAACACATCATGAATGGTGGGGGTAAAAGGTAAGGGAAATCATACATTTTGCAACCAGTGAAGGAAAATGGCTTGCTCAAGATAAATAAAGAAGGAAACAGGTGTCCTTGGGTCCAGCATTGTTTAAATCATTGTTCTTGGTGCTAAACCCCCCAAGGCTGAGGGGTGCCCACACAGCCCACCCTGCTTGCTGCTCCCTCCGCTCCCTGGAGAGCACCCCGACTCTGATCCTAAGGCCATCACTGTGTCCTCTGCTGCCTTTCTGAGAGCCGGGAGCACAGAGAAAGGACTCCTTCTCCCAGTTTCCACTCTGCTGCTGAGGAGGAGGCGGGGGGGAGCAAGAAGACCAAATCATCATGGGAGGGAGAAGGGCCAGAGAAGCCGAGGCTATGGGTTAGCTGAGGGTCAGAGCCGCACACCCGGGAGGAGGCCTGTGGGGAGAGGTTCTGACCCTCCATGACCCTCCTCTCATCTTGGATAGGGGCTGCCACAGGAGGAGGGCGAGGGGCCCAGCAAAGTCCTGGCCTTGCCACTCCAATTTCTTGTCTCCTTCCTGCCGACAAAGGGCTTCCCAGCTTTGAGAAAAGGGACAGGAATGGTATCCAACGAAAAGAGATGAATCAGTCCTCCTAGAATCCAGCATGAGACAGAGGCTTTTTGTTCGTTTTGCTTTGTTTTGGCAAGGAAGGGACCAATGCAGCACTTTGCTGATTTCGGATGGGTGCTGTGAGCAGTGGGGGCCACCTCTGGACACTCCCTGGGATGGTGATGGTGACTGTGTGTGGTCTCTGGTAGGAGACACTAAGGAGTTCCTATCAGGGAAAAAGCTTTATTTGCCACGTGAATATATAATGGGAGAGCGGAGTGAATCTCAACTTGCTTATTACTGCTAATCCAAAGTGTACACGCCATGCTGGCACCGTTTAGAAACACAGCACGCCTTATGTGTTTTTAATATCCAATTTTATCTTATCTGACCTCTTCATTTCTCAGCCTTGACAGTCAACACCCAGTACCTTTTCCTTTCCTTCCTCCTTAAGGAATAGATTGCACAGCTGGACTGCCTTTGGGAGGGGAGTCTGGGGGACACCTGCTGGGAGAGGCTGGGGGCAGCAGTCACAGAGGGACGCAAGCCCGGCTGCTCTCTCACAAGCGTCCGCCTGCAGCTCATGTGGAACCTCATTCTGAGGTTCCAATTTGCTTACTCTCCTCCCACAGCAGGATCAAATAAAGACTCTTTGCAACTCGGCTTTGAGCTACTCTGCATGTTTCTGAGTCTAGTTCCTCACTGGTTTCTGGTTTGCACTTGACCTTGTGTTCAGGTCTGCCCTCTGTGCTGCAGACCCTCTGGTGAAGGAATAGCACCTTTCTTAGAATTTCCACACAGCTGCTTCTCTCAGTATGGCAGAGGGGACCAAAGCAAACCCAAAGCAACCCAACCCACCACTGAATCGGGAACCAGGATCTGCTGATATTAGCTCAAAAGGTGGACAAATATCTCCTCTCGAGGTGCCCATTTCCCTCTCTGGTGAGTGAGCAGACTCCATGGGTTCATCTGTCCTCTCGCTCTCTCATCTCTCTTCACAGAGTTTCTGGGGTTTGTTCGAATGGCTCCGAGAGTGTCCACTTTATATCACATGTGATGCTGAAGTGAACACAAACTTGTAGAAAAGGACATTTTAGTTACCTGTTGTCCCTTATAGCCTAAGTGTTCTTGTAAACAAGTCCTGTAGATTTTTAATACACTTCAGATAGTGCCCAGAATGCACAGTGAGTGCCCCATTCAAAGAAGACATACCTTGTTGATATGTTGGCTCAATAACAGTTCAAATTATTAATAACCGTGAGTAATGAATAACATCGCCTCAGTCCTCACAGATTGTCTTTCACTCAAAGATATCAAAGTGCAGTTTATGAAAATCCATTTTAATGAAATATTAAGCAGTTTCTATTTCTCCTGACCCAATAGATTTACAAGGTCTCTGTTTTTCTCCCTGCATACCTCCTATTTATAGATGGTAAATGCTATCATATATTATACATCTTTATGACTTTCTCAATGCTTCTGTGGTTTTAGAATCACCTTTCATATATTTTTCTGATCAAATTCCCTGAGATGAATTCTTGGCTTCCAGTCTGGGTGTTGCAAGGTAAAGGGTTGTATGCACAGGAAACGATGCCAGGAAATTGGTTTTATTCCCTATTCTCTGCCAACTCACTGAATGACTACAGGCAAATCAATAAACCTTAGATACTTTGGTTTCTCCTTCAGGAAAATAAAGTCAATAATAGGCTTGCAGATAGGCATTAAGTTTACCAGCCCTCTCACCCTCTCTGCTGGCTCCAATACCTGCACAAGAGCCAGGCCAAATGCTGGAGTAGAAGCCAAGTCACAAGTAACAAATGGGCCTTTAGAAAACTGGGAAGGTTCAAGTTCAAAAACCCCATTGAGTCCAAAGCTCCACCTTGAGACCAAAAACTTTCAGGTTGTAACTCTGAAGTGAGACGTGCATAAAGCTTAGAAGAACCAGCAGATTGTTGACATATATTAAATCCAGATAGGCATATATAAAAAATGATGATTGAATTTTAACATCTGCATTAAAAGCTGGAAGCTGGAGTTGATATACCTTTTCATAGATTTAAAAAAAGATATTAATATGGTTGCTTTACTATCCAAAAGAAAACAAGGAGTATGTTCAAGGTGACCCTACCTTTCTGGGGATAGTGGTGATCATGTTGTAATTATTCAATGTGTGCATGCATATGTTATTTCTTTAAAAAGAAGCTATGTTGAACAAAAGATTTCTTCAAATGCATCTCTCCAAACCAAGTTGAAAAAATAAATCTGGGCACAAAGTGGTTCATATAATCCATTTGGTCCCTCACTGAATTCTAAACATAATCCAACAATTTCCAATTGATTCCGGAGACCTTTGTTTTATTTTCAGCAAGACCGAATCTGAAAACCAGCAGCATTTCATGGATTTTCTGATTTGCACCTCGCGGGGAGGGGGGCATCTGCCAAGCAAACCGGCTGCTCTCTGACATCCCAGTGTGGTCCTCATCTACCTCCCACCCCAAGGAAAAGATAATCGGTATGTGTTGACCATGCCCGTGGGTCCAAAAGGCTTAGACTGTACGGACTATACAAACCAGTGTAAAATAAAAATGTGTTTCTTATATATAAGATAAGAAGAATCTCTGGAGCAAGCATCACTGACGTTTTTTGAGGTCATCTTTCTTGTGTCTTGCCCAGGTTTAGTCATGGCCACCTCTCGTTTGCTGATCCTCCTTATGACTCTGAAGAACACACTGACTCTGCCCCTGCTGAGAACAGTTCGAGCTGCAGCCTGCCTACCCTGGCTCTGCCTGGCCTCAGTCCCTTTCCCATCCCCCATTAATCTTTGCTATCAGCATCCAGATGTCCGGGACAGGATAGATGTCACGTGTCATCATGTCTGCTGCTGGCGCCAAAGTCTTTGGGCTCCTTGGAGCAGAGATGCTGCACAGGGCCAGGCATCGCATGGCTGTTTAACCTTCCTAAATGACGAGGGCCCTTCGGTGGGCAGACAGGTGTCACCTTCACGTGCTGTGGCCAATTTGAGTAGGGCTTCTGTATTCCACCTGCACATGCCTGTCTCTTTACTACCCGTGGTGTGACCTACTGTCTCTTTCTATCTTTCTCTCAATATCTGGACTCCTCCAGCTCCAGGGACTGGGAAGAAGGCAGAAAACATTTTCAAAGACAACACTGTGCTGGAGCTCTGAGGTAGAAATTGTACATGAGATGTTCTTCGCCTTTTTAAAAAAATAAATATTTCTCTCCAGTAATAAATGTTTCATTGCATCCAAAGTTCTCCTTTACAGTCGACTTGGCACAGACAGTCAAGGAGGAGGAGAACAAAGCAGGCAAAAAGGAAGGGTGGTGGGAATGGTGGGCAGAAACCGGGGAAGCCACTGTCACCAAATGCGTCTCAGAAATAACTGCCACTCATCTTGGTGTCAGACCAAGAGCCTGTCCTTCCCCTCCCACCCCCTTCCTTGCCTCTTCTCTGAAACCAGCCATCGGATCTGAACACAAAAATAAATTGTTAATCAATGCATGCCATCCTGTTTAATTAATTTGTTGTACCAAACAGGGAAGGTGGGGGCAGGGGGCTGTTGCACTGGGAGAAAATGATGCTAAGGTAATGGGCTTTTTTTCCTCCCTGTTTGTAAATCATGATCCTGATATTTCTCTCTTCAAACTCCCCCTTGAAGACTACAAAGAAATTTTTAAAAGCTGCCTTCATTCTAGTGGATGTGGGAATTTAGCCAGATAGAATCAGAAGGTGTGTGTGTGTGTGTGTGTGTGTGTGTATGTGTGAGGGACAGACATGAGAGAGAGGGAGGGAGGGAGGAAAGGAGAAAGAGGGAGAGGGAGGGAGAGGGAAAGAGAGAGAGGGAGAGGGAGAGGGAGACAGAGAGAGAGAGAGAGAGACGGAGAGAGGGTAGGCACAGGGCAAGGCAAAGAGGCTCCCTAACAACCACTTGCTCATTTATGACGATGATGACCTTTGCTCTCGTTCTCCTTTACTTTAGGGCTGGTTTTGTCATCAGACAGAGGGGCAGGCAGTCCTTTCTGGGGTAGAGTGGAGGTGGGTGGGATGTGCACGTCCCCATCTGTGAGTGCCTTGTGGGCCACTAGATTTAATGCAGGATTATGTTACCCCCATGGAGACGCTGATCCCTGGAACACAGCCTACTAACACGATTAGGGTTTCAGGATCTGAGACAGGAAAGCATCAGGGAGAACAGGGGAAAAGGGCAGCTCAGGGACCGGCGCTGGAGAAGAGGTGGGTTGGGGAACAGCGTGACATCAAAGCCATGAGCAGGCTGAAAAGTAACAGCCCTGTCCTCCAGAAAATCTGGAGGGAGAAACATGGCCCCACCACACCCAAACACCTCCCTAACACTGATATTTGGCGGAGTGATTGTATCCCTAAGATAAGAACGAGGCTAGTATGGATGGAATTTATCTAAGGCAGCTCAAGTGCAGGCCTGCCCAAAGGTCTAGATGACTTATCATGCTCTTTTAGACCTCTGGTTTTAGAAGAGGCAGAGAAGTATCCCATGGGGCCCTGTTCCTCTTTTTTTTTTTTTTTTTTTTGGTGCTGGGGATTGAACTCGGGACCTTTCGATTGCGAGGCAGGTGGTGGAACCACAGAGCTAAATCCCCAGGTCCCTGTTCCTCTTTAAAATGACAAGTTGCTTCTGCTCAAAGAGCTCTGTGGGTGTAATGTACTGACTGCCTCTGGAAAGCCTTCCATCCACAGATCTCCAGGTGCCCTGGGTGGATGGAGTCACCAAGGCCTGAGGCTGGGAAGGAAAATGTCCCCGGTCACAAGTGTATCATCTCTGAAGATCTGAAGGAGATGGGGCTTTCTCCTAACTCTAGCCAGATGATTTGGGGGTTTGGTTTTCAGACACGACACTCTCCTTCCAAGTCTCTGATTTTAAAATGATTTGTTTTAATTTAGAAAATAAATATAGGACAGAGGAGTTTTGAAGTGGGGTGTTTATTTGTTTTGAAGGGATGTGGCCAAATCAAACAAATAGCAACTTCTTTCAACTCTGCATCCTCATGACTGCAGTGGAGCCCAAACCCCACAATGCTGAGCCCAGAGTGCTAAGCCGTGCTGTCCAAGTACCACTCCCCTCCAGGGCTCCTTTAGAAGCCGGGTCTTCCAGGAAGAACCCGCCTCTGGGCCCTTAGAGTGAACAACTGGGAAGCCCACGGGGTGCAAGACGAGGAGCAAGGCTGGGACAGACTGTTGAGAACACCAACTACTGACTTCTCACTAGGACTCCACAATTTCTCTGTCCCTGTCAAGTTGCTTGGTCTCTGAGACTTTTCATCCACAGCCTGTGAAATTCTGAAGGAGTAAGTCAGCGCCAAAGTGGTCACTGAGTCCCTTGGAGGGCAACACTGTGTTAACACCATGAGTTTAGAGCAGTGATGGCGAGCCTTTTAGAGCTTTCAATGATACCAACAGCCCACTGTGGCACACGTGTCATAGGCTCACCACTGCTGGCTCAGAGCAAGCATTCCTACCACTTATTGTGGGGGTAATTCTGAAAGCTCATGGGCCCAAGTCTTTTCTTTATGTTCACTCTTCCATTCTCAATCTGTCCATCAGGGCGTACAGATTCTCCTTTGGTCTCTAACTTGTTTCCAAATAGATGAGAACAGCTTAGTAACACTGTGACTAAGTGCAAGGTAACCTGAGCTATGTCAACAAAGGAGCTGCCCACATTGACCAAATAAGGAAGAATTCTGCTTAGACTTGTAAGGGGAATAGCCTGGGTCTCACTATCCTGACACCAGTCCTGTCTCCATTCCTCAGGCCCAGACTCTCCCTCAAGTGCAGCCTTAAGGGATGAGAATCTCAGAGGAGGCAGGACTTTGACAAGGCCCCAGTGCCCCACGAACCTCTTGGGCTATGTATACACAACTGTGCCCGAAATTACACAAGCATACATGAACATTCTACCACTGTACTGGGTACATTCTTTCTATGTCTGGGACATTCCTCATACATCTGGTAAAACCAAAAGCAGTAGTTGCTGCTGTGGTTTCTGAAGAATTCTATGTGAAGCAATTTGTATCATCTAAGAGCGCACATGGGCTGGAGATGGGTTCCATCAAGTGGGTGAGTGCTCTGCCTTGTGGTTAAGCCATAAATATACATAAGGAGGACCTGCCCTATACGAAAATCATAGGTCTCATATTTATGGCATGTGGAACTGGGGAAGGATTGGGGATGTCCTGTGCATATGGCCTCCATAACTGTGCCGTATTTTTCCAAAAAGATGCTTGAAATCCCCCAGCAACAGCCTGACTGATTTTCTCATAGGCAAACTCATGAATACCTGTTGGATGGAAAGAGACTAGGAAGGAGGGAAGCTGGAGAAGAATTCCTTAGTTTTTCTTACTTCCTGACAGTGAGAAGAAAGTCATTTCCCCACAGAGTCAGACTTCACCTCACCCAGCATGGGTCCAAATTGCAAATATTGTTTTGCAAGGATATAACACAGCCATCCCTCACCACTTCTAGAACTCATTAATCTTGTTTTTCTCTGATTTTCCCCATTCCCTTGTCTCTGATACACTGCACTGGTGTAGACTGCAACTAGGGAACTGAAATTGAGTTTCCAAATTTCGGCCCCAAATGTCACTCCCTGTGTGCTGGAAAGAAGTTTGCAAACCTTCTGAGCTTCTGAGCTGGCTGCTGAGCTGCTGCATCTCTTTCTGCTCTGCTTTTTCCTTAGGTCCTGCTGTCTGAATTTTGCTTTTAAGCCCACCACTTAGCACCAGATAGCTTGGCACAGTGCCCATTGTCCAGAGGCCACAAAGAGAAACTCAGCAGTAGTAACAGCACAGATGAAACCTTCTCCCACTGCCCCAAGTCTCCTCTCCACTCTGCTTCCCCGTTCATGGCATCAAATCAAACTGCGGTAGACTTGACAAATCTATTTGGCATGGTTCACGCAACTATTTCAACCCCAACAGCCTGAGGAGCTGTGCAGATGCACCATGAACAGTGTGGAATCTGCACATTAAACACAGATATCTGGGGGGAGATCTGCTAATGAATGGGCAGCGGGAGCACCCTTGCAGGGGCTGATGGGCAAGTCCTGCTGGCCACCCCCACAAGCGCAGTAGGATGGGAGCTGAGGAGCCGGGCAATGTCTAATCAGCAGGCTTTCCATTTCCCTGCCTATTAAGTACCAGGAAGATGCATTTCTAATGGGGGCTTTGCCTCTGCCTTGTTCCCTTTATTTGCGGAAGACTAATTCTCTAAAACAAAAACTAAAACTGCAAGTTACTCGGTTGGTTACTTGGGGAAAGAAATTGAGCCAAGGGTGGGAGGAGGAGGCAAGAAGAGAGAATGTATTCAGTAGGAAACGTGGAGAGGGATGATGCTAAAGACCAGAAAGCTAAATTCAGTTCTCAGGAATATCTTCCCTGCAGAATGGATACCAGGGATAAAGCGAGGGAGGACAGCATTCTATCAAAATGTGCAGTGCTAAGGTATTTCCAAAAGCAGATTTCCTACAAATGGCGTTTTAAATAGCAGGCCGGTGCATCTGTGTCCTTTTAAAATCGGCTTATTCTACAGTATCCCTCTGGCCAGGGCTGCTTAGTCATTGAGCCCGGTCAGGGAGACAGTCAGGTGAGCCTCATTCCTCTTCCCTAGGGCCAACCCTGCTCAGCAGCTGGCACTGGCCCACTGACTGAGCTGCTGGGTTCCACCGATTTCTTATCAAAAGGCCAGGTGGAGAGAGAAGGTACAAGTGGGGTGGAATGAGGACACTCAGCCCCAGATCTCCCCGAACCCATTCTGCTTGCTGTTCCCCACTGATGTCTGGCAACCTTTCTTGAAACCGAGTCAATGGGAAATCAGACCAGGCCCACACGTCAAGGTGGGGTGTCTTTCCATTGCTAAGTACCTCACTTTCCCTCCTGGGGAAATGGAGAAATCGTGTGTGTGTGTGTGTGTGTGTGTGAGAGAGAGAGAGAGAGAGAGAGAGAGACACAGACAGACAGACAAACGGACAGAGACAGAGAGACCTGGTAATATCTAGAAAGCACAATCTTCACATGAATGTTGCCATGTTACTATGGTGATTTTAATGAAAAAAAAACACACCCACTCCTTTAAAAACTCACATTTCCTAAATAAGACTGCCAACATTAAAGTTCAGTATTTTCTAGGTCTAAGGCTTCCAGTTGTATCAGCAGTTGTAGAACAATCTGCCTTGGGGCAATGACAGGAGCTGAGCAGACTCCCTTTTGCAAATGCTCTTTGGCCACACATACCTTATTTTGTTAATTCAGAACCCAACAGCCCAAGGCCTGGTGGAACTGTAGCACTAAAGAGGAAGAGACCCTTCTGCTCACTCCCAGTTCCCTTCCAGGAAAGGACAAGCAGCCTCTGGGAATCCCCAGGACATCACATGCCTTCCTAACCCAAGACTCAGCCACAGTCTATAGGGGCCACACAGCCTGTGCTCTTATCTCATCCCCATCCCTACCCAGGTGACACACTAGCTGCTTCCAACAAGCCTTCTCCATGCCCAGTGTGTGGTACAACCAGCATGTCATCAGCAGCAGACCCAGAATGCCATGCGTCTTAAGAAAGCTGAGTGCCAGACACTTGTCCCTATGGACAACAAAAGCCCCATATCCGCAGACCACACGTTCCAGTGCTGCAGACACTGAGGGCACCAGCCGAGAGCATTCAATGCCTCGCTGCTAGACGTGATTGCTGGTTCAGATCCCAGCCCCGACGAACTGAAGTACGCCTCATTATTTATTGTCCTCTTTTTTCTCTGAGACATTGTGATTCCCTCTCAGGATTTGTGCCCTTTCATTTCCAGACCTCCGTAACTCCTGAACTGCAGCTTCATGTGGTTTTGTGATTGTTAACCCAGCATGGGGAAGGGACTCAGGCCATAAATGCTCAATGAGTGCTGTGTGGGAAGACATGGACGAGGAATACATTTCCCCCTTCATTTGTAGTCAGAGAGCACTCTGCAAGCTCTCGCTCTTTCTCTCTCTTGCTCTCTCTATCTCTCTGCTGTGCAACTTGCAACAGCAGCCAGACTGTAAGGGAAATGGTGTTTTCCAATTGCTTTAGCATAAGAAAGAAGATTTTCAGGGTCAGTGTCCCTGGCCTCCAACAATTATTTGAGCCTCAATAAACAAGGCCTTCTCTCCTGTGTGTGTGGGATCAACTTGGAGCTCCCCTTGTCTCATCCCTCCTGTACCTGTCCAGCTTGCCTTGGAGGTAGGAAAATGATTTACCTTGTGGTTCTTGCCATGTCGGTATACCATCCAGTCTTCACCATTAGTGCTGACCTCCAGCTTATAGGATTTGACATAGTAGCCATTCTGGGTCTCCCTGGAAATTGCACCCTGTGTTGCAATTGCTGTGAGCATGGTTAGAAAGCGCAGGTCCACCTGGGAAGAGAGGAAGGGGATCATCACTCTCAAGAGGAGGCAGCGTCTGGCTTTTTTCTATAAAAAACACCACTGTCATACTTAGCTCATGATCGGGTCTGTGTTTCACGATTTGTATTGGTAATTAGTATCCGTTTGCAATTCCATTGGACAATTAAACTCAACTTACTTGACACTAAATTGAACATTTTGAAAATATAACTTCATTATTTTTCTTTCTTTTTCCTGTTTTGCAAATGTGAATGGCCAGTATTCAGTTTCTCCTAACCATTGAGCATCTAGAATTATGATCTCTCCTTATTTAAGTATGGCCTGCTTTGGACTGAGAAAGCAGATGCCATTCTAAAGCAGCAATGAATAGCTAAATCCACTCTGCTCCAATCCAGTCTAATTCAATCCAATTCACTTGTAATGCCCTGGTTGCAAAAGTCACAGCTCATAGCTGCCTCCCATCCCCATGCTCCCTTGCTCTATTGTGTCTTTAGCTGCTCAGGTCACCAAGGGGTCAAAGGGCATGCAGAGCCTGCCCAAGCAATTAGGCTTATGCACCAAGTCCTAACCTTTTACTCTCCAGGGAGGATGGCCAACATTTTGAGGTGCCTCCTTTTTTACAGTGCAAACCCATTTGGAAATTGCTGGATGTTTTTCCTTTGCTGGCCATGGTGTTTCTTAATGGCAGCCTCCATGTGGCCAAAATTTAGCCCCTGAACATGGGTGAACCTCAATTTGGCAGTCACTGACTGGTACACAGCGTGTCCACAGCCTTATGAAGCATTCAAAAGGAGTGTGCAGTGCCATCTACTTAAATGAGAGACAGGTGGATAGCAATAGGAAAGTATGTGATTAAGGACCAAAATTAGGGAGTATAATTAATGGGCTGCCAATGACAAAGGAGAACTTTCTGGAAACTTTGTAAGATAAAAGAAATTTTGGAGAGGCAGAGAGGAAGACAGTGACAAATGGCCTTAGGGTTGTGTTGTTGGAGACTCTTGGGCTCCCTAGAGTTCATAAGTGATCTTTCTCCCTTTCTTGCACTATGCTTCTTAGATCAGAGGTCACCATGTCACATTAGAGCTATGACAGGCTTGTCAATGGGTCACACGCCTGTCTGTGTGTGTCATAAAAGCAGATGTTGCTCTGGTATAGGACTAGCAGTTTGCTAGCAATCCAGCCAGGCTCCATCTCCCTGTTTACTTCTTCCCAGGGGACGAGAACTGGACCCGTCTGCAGTGCAGGAAGATTACTCAACATGAGCTGCAAGACTTGTTCAGAAAGAAAGCAAACAATAGTCTGAAAAGACACTGCAGAGCATCTGGGCGACTTGAGTTTCGTTCCCCGCAGTGACATTTTCCCATGTGTTCTTCTAGTAGCTTTGTGCAAAACCTTCCTGGCAGGGCTCCCTCCAAATAGCAAAGATCAGGAGAAGTTGCCATATTCAGCTGCCACCCAACAAGCCTACCCTCAGGAAAATGCTTCCCCCATCTCTGATGCCCCTCCTGTGCCAAGAACAAGGAAGATCAGCAACCATATATGAATGTTCCTTGGATACTGATAGGGCAAACAGTATCCTGGCCAAACAATTCTCCTAAACCTGTTCGTTACCAGGGGTAAGGATACCCAGCCCCCACCTTTACTTATCAATTTATCCTTACACACAGCACAGTGCCTGGCACAATCTTTTTGTGCTTGGTATGCATTCTTGTTAGGATGATGAATGACTGAATGGGCTTCTCAAGTACACTGTGCTGTTTTCCTTGTGTTCCCTGTCCACTTTAGCTGAAGGGCCATTCTACTGCTGCATCAGGACACACACACTCAGCACAACCCCTGATATCTGAGGAAGTACCTGGAGATACTCCTTGTTGGAATCCAAATTGGGGGTCCAGCCATTGTCATCACCGTGGAGCCTGCTTTGTTGAGGGGTCCACCTTCCATCAGAATAGGTTGATGAGGCAGTGATCTGTTCATTTGCAATTCGGCCAGACTCCATTCCCAGAGGGACATTGCACTGAAAATCTGGGAAGTGGAGATGGTCAGGGTAGAGTTAGGTGATTCAGCCTCATACTCTTGGGACCCTCCCACCCGACGCTGCTTCCTTCAAGGGACAAGTCCTTGCAGGCACTCCCTTATCTGAAAGACTAACTATGGGCTCACATTTTAAAAACAACCCTAGCAACTCACAGAGCTTGACAACCCCTCTGGGTCTGCAAGAAACTAAGTTGGATCTAAAAGAAATTAGGTGATAGATAAATAAGAATCATCATACAAATTAAAAATACAATCTAAAACACAAGAACTGATATCCCTGGAGGCTATGGATGCTCCCTGATGCCAGATGCACCGTGGCTGCCATACAAGTAGTTGAGCGGTAGACTTGGCAATTTGGGTGGGCTGCTTAGTCATGGGAAGACAGCTTTACCCATAAACACCTGGGAGGCACTTCTGCATCTCTCTTTCACCCAACTGTCTCTTGAGTTATGGCACAGAAGATAGACATTCCAAGTACTTATGCCTGTCTCTGGGAGAACTCTCCAGGAGCACATGCATGTCACACCCTATTCCCCTGCACCACCTGCCTGGGCAAACAGACCCAGAAGTCACTCACTCTGGCCTTAGTGCCACCTGTTCAACTGCTATTCTTCCCTGGATGCTGTGGACACTGGTCAAATATTTGTGTATGCATGTGCTCCAGCAATTTTTTCCCAGTATCAGACTTACTCTTGGGCTCTGTGACTGGCCATTTGCAGAACCTGCTATAATTAGCCATACTAATTTTTAAATTTTGCTTTTAAATCATATAACTTCCATGAGCTCTTACATAAAAACATGAAATCTAAACCGAGAGAAGAATCCAGAAACTTTCCTGCAGGTTAGGCTGCCATGGAAAGTTAAATTGGTGATGAGCTGTCTACACCTGTGGTAGGATTTCTTCAGCTGTCAAGATCCTTCAAGTGCTTCTTTTTTCCTTAAAGAGATCATTTGGGCTTCTGAGTAGAAATGGCAGTACATTTGAAGCACATGGCCAGGAACAGTGGATTTGAAGATTGGGTTCAGGGCCAGAGACTGATGGCCTACACTGAAAGTTCCATGACAGCAGGGGCCAGAGCAACAGTTTTTAATGCCTCACACAGTGCCTAGCCTATTTAGAAGGTCCTAGAGTCCCAGCGGTTGTATTGTCTGGCCAAGGAAACTCAACCCAAGGCCAGAGATGTTTAGTATCCAAATACATATACAAAGAGAGAACTTTAAAATGCCTGTTTTGTGACACTGGCCTCTGAGGGTTGGAGAGGGATAAAAATGGTCCCAGACTCAAACATCTTAGCTCCTATGTAGATTATCCTAACTTGGAATATGTATGTGTATGTACATATATATATATATACATACATATATATGTATGTATGTGTGTGTGTGTGTGTGTGTGTGTGTGTATATATATATTTGGTTTTTTTTGGAATGAGTACCTAAATGGACACTGGTTCTTTTCTCAGTAATATCTGCCTGTTAAGAGGATGTAGCTTCCATTCCTTGAGCTCAAATACCATAGCAAATCCTGTAGGGTTCTGTCTCTGTCCCCAGAAGTCTGCCCTGTATACCCCTACAGCTCTGATGCCCTCATCTGCGACTCACTCTCTAGTGGTTCTTGGTGCACCAGGTAGTAACGCGCAGAGAAGCCGTCCTTGGCCACTGCCATGTCCGTATGAAAGGTCAGGGACAGGATCCCTGTCGATGAGCGGAGTTCAGAGGGTGTTTTGGTCCCACAGTACTTGCCAATCAGGGGGCCAACTGGACACAGAAGACAAAGACAGTGCAGAGGAAATGGAAACATCAAACTTGATTTTCAGTACATTCTCCTGTCCCATCACTGCGTGTCATCCCATTGCTTTGCATGCATGGACATAAAAACCAAAGATGTGCTTTAAGAACAATGTCTAGTGGTTTTTCTGAACATTAAAAAGTACTCTGATGAGCTGGCTTCATTCTGTTCTTACAGCCCTGGGAGATAGACCAGAAAGCTATCATTACAATCCCATCCTTCAGAAGAAGAAATTGAGTTCCAGAGGGGTTATGATGTGATGTTTCCTTGTTCACACTACTAGGAAATAGCACAGTGGGACCCAAACTTTAGCTTCCTGATTAAATCTTATGCTTTTCCCAGGAGATGAAATTGTTCTTGCTTAGTCATCAAGTCTCTCTTCTATTAGAAAATGGTTAGAATAACTGCAAAAGTGAACGACTCATTTCCTTTCCAATACTGACTATACCCAAGGTTCTCAGACTTCTCGTGGCTTTGAGTGATGCACTTTTAAGCATCTACTACTATATTAATAATAACATTCTAGGGCTGGGGATTTAGCTCAGTGGTGCCACCGCCTGCCTCACAAGTGCAAGATCCTGAGTTCGATCCCCGGTACACATGCCCCCTCGCCAAAAACATTCTAGTAATAATAATGATGGTGATAGCAGCCAGCTTACACAGCTAAATCAAAGATAAGTAGTTAAGTAGCTTTCTGAGGCTGTACAGGATTCGAGCCCAGTCTGTCTGGCTCTAGAGTCCTTGGCCACTGAGTCACTTTCTATCCTGACAACTTGGTGTGAAAAAAGACATTACCCAAAGGACTTTCCATCTTTCAGTCTAAAGAAAATATCTCCAAGAAAACAGACCACATTCCTATAATTTCTCTCAAACCAATCCTTGGAGGAAAAAAAGAGAAAGTCATTATGGCTCCCATGAGAGCCTTTGTTCTCCTTTCTTGTAATTACTAAAGCAATTCACAGACAAAGGCCAAGAAACTCAGTGCCTCATGACAGTGACATCACTTACCATGTGGAATGCCATCCCAGATGTCCAGCCAATCATATTTGCAGTCTCCCTCTCCCACCTGCAAAGGGTCATGCTCCAGGTCAAAGGTCAGGAACTGCAGGATGATCTCCATCTTGGGTTTGGCCAGGATGGTAAAAGTGCAGTCCAAGTTATGTGGGTACTTTTCAGGAAACCCAGGAGATTCGATGGTCCCATTGGGGCTGGTGAAGTTTTTAGAGCAATCTTCAGAGCCTGTGTACCAAAGAGAGCTGCAGCATTAGGAACAAGGCTTTCTTTGCTGCCCTTGTTTCATGGGTTATTTAAATGTTTGGGCCCAAATCCCCCTACTCATGAGGTTTTTGTTTTCACTCAAGGGCCCCTGGAGCAAAGAACATACTCTCCTTCTCTGCATTTCAAGCCCTCAAGCCAGTCCCTCTTTAGGATGGAAGTTAGGGAGACTCAGCAAGCTTGCTCTACATATTAGGGTAAGAGCAGCAACTGAGGAATGGAGGGATAGGAGAGTGGAGAGACGAGAGAGGACGAAAGAGAGGGAAAGAGAGAGCGATCGATCTTGCAAAGAGGAACAGAGTCTTCTTTCTCAGTTACTCAGCTGCTCACTCCAGAAATGTAAATTATTTCAGTCCTTAAGGAAGGCTTGCTGGTTGCCAGCAGGGAAAACAATGTTACCCCTTATTTACTGCTGACCTCAACACTAGCCCCCGTTGTACACAGCCAACTAAGCGGCCCTTCTGCCTCCAAGACCCAAGGTGCCTCAGGGGAGGGGCAAAGGGGAGCTTGGGTCTCATTCATGTCATGACTATACTAAAACGAGCGGCTCTGTAATGGCCAGACAATTAACAATCAACGTTTTTTAGCCGGTGGATCACAGTGGGGGCCCGGGATGTTAAAGGCCGCTCCAGCACCAAGTTTGGAAAAATGCAGCAGCGTACTGACATTTGGAAGGCTTCTGGTTCCTTTGTGGTGGAGATGGCCTTGTTTCTCTCCCAAGCTCTGTGTCTACTTTCTGGGGACGCTTAGGGGTGTTCTGGTTAAACGCGGCACTCCTTCTCAGCCTGGTGCAAGCTCGGACAGCAGCAGGAGCTCCTAAGAGGATTACAGCCACCATATCTCCCGCTGCCTCTAGGTGGAGTGCTGTTAAAAGAGCCCTTGTGCTTCACCCAGCCACCACTTGTCAAAGCCGAACCCTGCAAAGATCCTGGGTATACAGAGACTCAGACTCCCGGACCCAGAGATAGGCACAGAGCAAGAACGGGCACAAGTTAAGGCAGCTGACGTAAATGCTGCATTTGGTACGTTCAGATTTTAAAATAAGAAAAGGAAGCAGGATTTATGAGGAGGATAATAGATATTCTAAGCACGAAAGAAAAAAAAAACCACAGAAATTCTCAATAAGCCAGGTGTTTACTGGCAGAAAGTATCCTCTGGGGTTCGAGCTGAAATATAACTATGTGATGTCAATACGTCAATCTTAACCTGCAGAGATGTCTTTATCTGCAGGTCCTAGAGCAGGCCCCTCTGCAAGTCTCTTTATTGATGTTTTCTGGAAAGTGGCAAATGTCTGACTTGGAAAAGGTGGCGTGCAAATAAGTGAGGAGGGGGCAGACAGGACAGGAACTGATTTTCTTTTTTTTTTTTTTTTCCCTTTGGTACTGGGGATTGAACTCAGGACCTTGCGCTTGCAAGGCAGGCAGGCGCAGTGTCACTGAACTAAATCCCTGGCCCCATGGACAGGAAATCCCAATATCCCCCACCTATCCATCTGCTGTCTCCTCTGTTCTCCCATGCTGCACCTCAGCAGCGTGAGAACTGCTGACACAAGGCAGGAGCGAACCTTCATGGGTTCTTTAGAAGCTCTAAGTGCAGCATCCTGGAGGCTCTATGCTCCATCATTCAGAGGGCTGGCAGTGGCAGGGCAGGACCAGAGATGTGAGAGGGCAGCCAGGCCCGGAGGGAAGAGAAGGGTGCGCCCCCCCCAGTGTTTACCATTGGGCCTCAAAGTCCAGAGGGCCTCCTCAGTGGCCTGGGATGATGCAATTTGACAAAGCCAAGCCAGCTGGCAGGTCTTCAGGGGGCCAAGAGGAATTTTGAAAAGGTTATAGAGTTTGTGGCTGCTATGCAGCCTTCTCCACATGGGCCACTTAGGAAGCCTCACATAGGGCTGGGTGGAAATTAACTCTCTATTCACGACTGGCCTGAGAGCTAGAAAAGGCATCTTGACATTTTCTCTTAGAGTTTGTCCTATTGTCATTCCCTCAGAAGGCAAGAGAATCTTTACCTCTCCCCTGCGAGTAGGAAATTCAGGGTGGGCTCTTCCTTTGGTCCCTCTCATTGGTGGGGACAAAGGCTTCCATAATGGCTATCTGGTGAGTCTGGGTCAGGCCTGGAGAATGTGAGATTCTAAACCATCTGCAGTTTCCAGGGTCCTGAGTCCTGCTTTGCTAGAAGGAATTTTTTTAGCCTTGGATACTGAAGGGCAAATTGTTATATTCGTCAGGAAAATTTTTTCCGATTTTTTCATTTTTATGCAGAAAAATCAAGCTTGTCTATTAAGACCATATATTTGTTTTTAACTGCATCAGAGTCAAAACATTAGAAAGACAGCTGATTATCCAGTGTGGAGAAGAAAGCCCAGAAAAAAAAAGATAAACCCTGAGTCTCGAAGAAATCTGTGTAATCCAAGATCTGTTTCTGTGATTTGTTATAAGGATAAAGTCTAAAAAAATAACTCAGTCAATAAATACTTAGGTCCACTCAATGCTTTCTCACAGAAGCTGGAGAATTTGGGTTGCAGTGAATGATTTCATAACAAAGAACTCTGGTGTGGAAAAATGACCACTATGTGTTCTCCCACTGTAAATTTTATAGTAACTGCAATTGGAAGAAGAATCTACACATATAAAGATATGAAAACATGGTGGTTTTATGCAAAGCTGGCCTTGGCTTGACTACAGAAGGTGAACTTGGCTCCTAATTTAGAGGGTGAGGGCAGTAGATGCTTCAGGTTTTCTCTGTCTGTGAATGACCTTAGAAACTGCAGTTTCAGAAATGTCACTGGGCACTAGGAAAGAAAACTTGATCTTGAACTCTATTCAGAGGAACATCAGAACAAACGAAACCCAAAACATATTGCCACTGTTTCCAATGTTACTTTTGAAATTACTTAAGGATTCCTCTCTCTACTCTGCTGAGGATTGGGTGACTTGACGTCTTCTGAGTCTGTGACTTGCTTTGGCTTACCTTTTATTGGTGGATGGTCTGGTAATGCAGAGGATCTTTTATACTTCATGTACGCAAACAGGAACCTTCCACTCCAGCCACATGTCGCCTGTCTGTCTCTGCATTGTGGCTTCATATCACTCAGTGTAACTCTGCTGCACAGCCTTGCCAAAGAAAGGCTGCCACAGCCCTGTGTGCGGCTGCTTGTGTATCTGTGTTTACAGTTTCCCCCTGCTTTCTTTTTATGAATCTGACTAGCAAACATAGCTGTGTTTGTTTGGATTTCTTCAGCAAGTCCACCCATTTCTTTCATGTTCTGTGGATGACGTAAACTTTGTATATTTTCCCTCAGGACTGCAACCGTGGAAACATGGGTACAAGAAGTGGCACCTGGAAGAATGCTCATCTTTCTAAACTTTTTAGTTTTGGGTTTTGCATCTTCGTGCATGTATGAGTTTTATACACAGTTCTCTTTCACGCTGAGAGCTGCCCTTCCAGATGGGCACAATGGCAGGTTTGAGTGGCCCTGAGAAGGCTCCTATGCTGTCATCTTTCATTCATGTTTTCAGAAGCGTGGCTGCGGGCAGGGCTGTTCCTGCAACAGTTTCTTCTAAAGGCAACCACAGTCCTTGGAGCAGGTGCTCCCTGCCAAGTCATCTACCTTCCTTGGCTGGCACCATTGTTTCTTGGCAGTTCACAGACTTGTTGCTTCCTTCAAAATTCTACTTCAGCATGTCATCCAAACAGCCGTGTTGAATTATGATATCCTCTTGTGTGTTTTATCTTTTAATATCCTCCTTTTGAATGTGCATGATGGATAGAGTTACTATTCCCTTATTCGGTGGTGTTCTGGAGAATGTGGCACTGTGCCTTGTGAAATGCTAACTTGGGAGACAGGAGACTGGAAGTGAGGTGAGCTTTCATGGCTGCTCACACTTATTCTGATTTCCTTTGGGCAGCTCCCTGGAAGATCTTGTTTGGGCTGCTTCCCTTTCATGGTCAGGACAGTGGAGGCAAGTGATAAATTTGGCACTAGGGATCTTGCCAAGTGATAGACTCTAGAGAGCCCCTTGATTGTTCCCATTTTCATAACCATAGCATGTTAATTGTACCTTCACCTAGCACTTACTCATTTCCCTCAATTTACATATGTTCATCCAGCAACATCAACTATGCATATGCTGGGGACTGAGGGTTTACACACTTTTGTTCCCCACTAGAAGAGGTTTACCCTTACACTGGTTTTTGTTTTTTTCTTTTGTACCGGGGATTGAACTCAGGACCTTGGGCTTACAGGGAAGGCGGCAGAACCACTGAGCTAAATCCCCAGCTCTAACACTGTTTTATTCGTTCTCTCTCCCCTCTCTGCACTGTTCCTTCTAGGGCATGTCCCACCAGTGCTGGTGGCATTGATCTAGATTTTGCACAGGCCTCAAGGCATGTGGATCAAGCTACTAAGGGCCCTCATCCCAGTCCCAAGCTTCACACACACACATCTTCAGTACCCTATGACTTCACTGTGGCCCAAAGCATGAAAATTCATGACAGATGGACAATCTTGAGACTTGCATCCCCTGACAGCCTAGGTTCCCACACTGGCATGACACAGTTCTGATGACTCTCCCCTTCATTTAATTCCATCCTCTCAGGCCAATCTGACAAATATTTAGACAGAGTGGATATAAAAAGTGCTTTCAGCAGCTACTAGTTCCTTTCAAGAGCTGTTTAATGAAAACGAAAATATATATGAATAGTTCCCCTCACACTGAACTCAACAGGCGCCGGCTGTGGGCCTCTCGATGACAGGGCTGACAACTTCCCCTTCAACCAGACTCCACTGCGAGTTGTAAAACTCAGGCTGCTGCAGAGGAGAGGCCCTTGGAGATGAAGCTTCTGCAGTGGGGAAGTGGGGAGCAGGCAGGACCAGAGAGAACTGGAGGACATGGCTCCCTCAGCCAGCCTTAGGATACTGAGTGCCACCCATCAGAGAGCACATGCTGCTCAGGGAGCAGCGTGTGAATGTAAGTCTGGTGTTCTCAGTCATAGAAATACACACTGGCGCATATGCTCAGTCCTAGAGGAATCTAAGGAGAACCTACTGAAATCAAGCAGTCAATGTCTCTGCCCTCTTCTGCTATCTTGTTGCTATCTTCTGTATCGCTAGTGCAGAGCAGTAAGGGACTGATGGGCAGAGGTGGTAGGATGGATGGCCAAGAAAAATTTCTAAGAGCCATATTTTAATTGAAAAGCTATAGGGTGACCCCATTTAGGGGACTGTGGTGAGATCTTTAGAGACTCTAAACAATGAAAAGATCATGTCCTCTAGCCCCTTGCAACTACAAATAAAGTCAACATTAAACCAGGAAATAATTGAGAAGAAGTTCTACCAAATTTTTCTTTTTCCCAAGAAGATTAGTTTGATTAAAAAAAAAAATACAAAAATCAGATTCTTTCCAAAAGCTTTTTTTTCCATGTATTTGGAGCTCCCAACTCTCTGGTGCTTAGTTTGCTCCCTCAGGTCACATCATGGCCTGAGCCACCTTTCAATCTCAGGGCACCTCAGGTACAGCTTGAGCCTCTGGATGAAGCTACAGTCCTTCCCACCCATCACTCCCCTCCGTATCCCACCTTCTCTAAGACGCTCATGTCCCCACTCTACTAAGGGCCACACTGACCTGTCTTGAAGATCTCATAGCGCAGGGAGAAGCCTGCCCCCTGTCGGGCATAGTCGGATGTGAACTTGATGTAGAGCATGGAGCCCGAGGAGATGATGGTGGGTGGGGCAATGTTCCCACAGTGCTTGCCTAGGAGGTCTGCAGACTCGCTGTCTCCATCCCGAATCTCAATGAAGTCATACCTACATGGGGATGGAGAAAGTGACACAGACGAGCAAAGATCAGCCTGAGCAGAGAAAGACATCTCTTCCAGCTCCAACCACTTGCAGCCGGTCAGGTGTTTCAGAATGATAAACAAAGAACATCTCTCTTGCCTGTGTCAAAGGCAAACAGATGCAGGAAGTTGCACTGCTGGGTTAAAGTCACACATCAGTGACACATGAGTGCATGGGCAGGACACCTTATCTCTTGTTTACATAAGAGCAGCAGTGTCATTCAAAGATCTTAAAACACTGTTTCCTTCTTTCCCTAACACCATTTTTATTTCCATTATGATCTATCTGAACCTTAGTTTCTCCTTCTTAGCTCTGTGTCACCACAAGTTACCCCCTAACCCCTTTAGCACCAATGTCCTCGTCTGTAAGACGAGAAGAAAAATATCCACTCCAGAAGTTTGGGATGGAGATAGAATAAAAATATATATGCAATATGTATGCTGCAGAGTTTTCAGAAATATTTATTTTCCTGTGCCCCCCCATTTCAATTTCCTCCTGGGTCATTCTCTCTTATCTTCGATTGAGAGTGTCAAAGACTCCCCATGCCACTGGGCCACCTCACTCCCTGAGATGACTCTGCAAAGTTCATTTCAGCAGCATCGAGTCAACAACACATTTGAAAAAGGAACCAGCACATATTAAACAAGGCAATAAAAACCATTCTCCAAAAGCAGGGGTGAAGCCCTGAGGACCCCCGTCTATGTGCACACAACTATTAGTCACAGGAAGAGGTGGGGTGGGCTGCCCTCCTTGAGCCAAGGCCTGTGCTCCTTTCCGACAGAGCAGGGGGAGTAGTCTTAGCCAGGTTCACGGGCTGCCGCGCACACACAGGGTCCTACTTTATTTTGACAGACACCCACTTGTCCACCATGGCACATGCTCTGGCAGTCCTCACTGTGCCCTGCCTGTGCTCCTTTCTAGGATCTGAGTTGATACCTTTGTCACAACTGCTGTGGTGGGAAACTTCTCCACCAGCTCCCTTCAAATTGCTGGCCACTGTGCTATTGTTTACCAAAACCATCCATCTCCCTTGCCTTCCATTCCCTGGGTTTATTTTGCATCAACCTGTTAAAGCAACACTTAAGAAATCTCTTCCTCATGAGTGGAGAGAGGGGCCAGAATGTGCCCCCGGGGGTGTGCCTGCGGCTCTGTGACACACGGGTGTCTGTGGGAGCTGGCTGTCTGCAGAAGTGGCTGATGTGAAGTGGAGTGGCCTGAGGCCTCACTTCAGCCCGTGGGAGCCGTATTTCAGATTCCTCAACCACTTCCAATAAATAGGCCTGTGAAGGAAGAATGAGGAGTGGACCAGGAGTTGTTCATTCTTGAGGGCTGGGCTTGTGCAGCTCAAAGAAGGGCTGCAGCTGATTCCAGTCTGTGGAAGTTGAGCTGGATTGCGGGGCAGGCTGAGAAGGCCTGGGTGGGGGAATCTGCTCAGGTCTGGGATTTCGGTGTCGGAGGTGGTAGATTTCCTTGTTTCCAAATCAAAAGTGAAAAGATGCTGAGTTTGCTCTCAGGGGAAACTTCCCAGGCCTTCTGGAAAACCCCTCCTCGATATTCCCACCCTGAGGTAAACACAGCAGACAAGCAGTCCCTCTCCAGGAGCAATCGAGAGGCTGCACCTGTGTGCACCTGTATTCATTAACCGGGCAGCCCAGCTTACCTGGAGGCGGCGTGCTGGGCTCTGGGCATCAGAGTCCCAGTCCCGGAAGTAGACAGAGCTAGGTTTGGATCAAGCTTGATCACACTTTAGCTGACTCTCAGGAATGGGGAGAATAAGAGTAAAACAGGGATACTAGGACTTTTCTCCTACGGGTGTTGTGAGATTTACCTGACTGAGTCTAATCTGTGTATAGTGTTACTACTTTGGCATAAGAAATTTAACTGCAGTTTGTTGTATTTTCACACCCACTTTACAGGCTGAGTGACTTACCCCACAAGAAAGAGCAAATGAGCAGAGGTACAATATAAGCAGGGATGTAAATCTGTCAAACATTTTGGAAGGCATTTTTGGCAAAATGTGATAGAAGTTAATATGTACCTAGCCTTTAATCCAGTGGTTCTTCTGCTGGAAAGTTTTCCTAAGAAAATAATCAGGCAATTGTGCCAAGATGTATTTGCATCTTTGGGCATACATTAAAAAAAAAAAAGTAAAGGGTAAGGAGATGCTTTGTTTATAAATAGCAGGATATCAAAAACTCAACCCTATGGGGCAAGTAAATCAATTTTGGTAAACTGTATTTATGAAATGAAATATTCTGCTGCTATAGTCAATGGTGCTGTAAATCTAGAATTTTCACTTTTATGGAAAAAATGTTCATGGCATACTGTTAACTTAAAAAGGTAGTTTTTTTTTTTTGGTACCAGGGATCAAACTCAGGACCTTGTGCTTGCGAGGCAGGCATGGTGACACTGAGCTAAATCCCCAGCCCCTAAAAAGGTAGGTTTTTTAGAAGAATGTTTTATAATATATACATTTATTTCCTGTCTGAAAGACTACCTGCTAAAATATTAACAGTGGTGAGACAGATACATGGATGGTGGGATAATTGGTAATTTTTACTTTCTTCTTTGTTTCCCTCTATTATCTAACTTGCTCATGATAAGCCTACATTTCTTTAGGAAGCCAAAAGTATATAAAGTAAAGTTACTTTTCTGAAGTCTCTCTTTTCAAAGTAGAATCGCCAAGACAAGTAAGCTCTGAAGGTTTATCAAATGAGGAAGTAAATCATCATCATCACATACCTGTAGTGAGGATCAGAGGACACAGGGCATGTCCAGATACCTAGAATAGTGTTGGGGACATGGCCCGCCCTCAATAAATAGTTTTGTTTTGTTTTTGGTATTGGGAATCGAACTTGGGTCCTTGTCCTTGCAAGGCAGGCCACAGAACCACTGAGCTAAATCCCCAGCCCCAATAGTTTTTAAAAAATATTGTAACTAGTCTTTGGGTTAAGAATTCCATTAGGAAGGACAAAGAGATTCCCTGCCCCCATATGGGCTTGTTCCTCAGAAGTGGTTGGCTAATCAGCCACGGAGTCATTTAGGGAATTAACGAAACCAGCCAAGAGGCGGGATTCCCACAAATTCCATTGCTGCAAGCTTGCCTCAATTTACTCAATGTATATACCACCCCCAATCCAGTCTTTTAATGTGGCCACCAACAAATATATCCTTCTATATCTACATACACATAGAGTGAAGAGATGTTTTTTTGAAAAAAGGTTCCTTTAATTCAGTCATATTATAAGTTCTTTCTCTGAGCTTGTTAGTTAAAGGACCCCTCTGGAGAAGCCTTTTGTGAAGCAAATAATCAGCCCTTTCTTGAACTTCTTAGAAAAATGGATTTTCTTATCAGGTTGGCTTGGGGGAAAAGCAACTCAGAGTTACAATCGAGCTTAGGTGGCTGAACTCCCCTTTCCTTCCAGTATCCTGGTTCTGCCCTGTGGACAAGCCCCACTTAACCACATGGCCTTCTGGCTGGGCTTTTTATATAAAGGGCACACTCCAAATGACATGCTGACTTCATACAGAATGTGTCATTTCCCTCCCGCGTGACTGACTCATTTGGGGAAATTTTTTATTATTAAGGATTTGCTACAGCTGGAGTAAATCTCCTTAGAAATTTCCGTGTTGTCAGGTTCATTTGTGAAGAGGCTTAGGAAGTTTGTGGCCTCGGAATAACTATGGCTTTGCAACCCGCATTGAATCTCCAGGGTTTGTTTGGTGGAAAGAATCTGGGGTACAGATTCAGCACTCACCCCAAGGACAGCCAAGTAGGGTAACTTAAAAAGCTGCTCATATCACAACATGGTATTCATTTTTCCTGAAGGCAACACAAACAAGCTAAGGGATGTATTAACTACCGTGTTTGCATTTCATTATGCATAATCTCTCTCAAATGAAAAATTCCTTTCAAAGCTTTAATACTACCTCTTATTATTTTATTTATTTATTTTTTCCTGAGCTGGAGTAGCCATCTCTACTCTCGGTTCTTTTCTCTCTAAAATGGTTTCCTGAGTACCTCCTTACTTTTCACCAGAGATTCTGACAGCTGCATGTGGAGCATTTGTCTAGAGAATGTTTTCTCTACTTTCTTTCTCAACCTCAAAATCTTAATTTCTTCTTCCCAAACCCACATCTGGGGTGTGGGAATCTTGACAGTGGAATTAATTTTAAAAGTACACAGGAGAGATATGAACAAGCAGTAATTTCATCTCTTGCTCTCATCACTGGGCAAACATGAAAAGAGGCTGCCTGGTGTCCTAACTCTATCCGTACCTGACTCTTCCCAGCAGGGTCTTCTGCCTGTGTTGGAAAATCCCCCATGCTGAGCCCTTCCCTCAGTGCAGGATGACATCTAGCCCCAGAGAACGTCCACCATTATGGATGGGCACAAAGTGAGTGTGATAGGACTTCTACACTGGAGTGCTCAGGTCCTCTAAGTCAGAATACTGTGCCCATTCTTTGGGATTTGGGTCTACACATGAAAAGGCTGGTGCCCGAGTCTGGAAGTCAAAACCTTTGTCAGCCAGGCAATGCATCCTTTCATGCTGCTTGTCTCATAGGATGGTTATGGCATTTTGTAGACAGCAAGCTCTTTCCTGCCCCTAGGCCTTTGTACTTGCTCTTTCCTCTACCTGCATTACCCTTTGTTTGCTTTGTCTGTGGCTGTTTCTCATCCTTCAGTCCTAAGTGCAAATGTCACCTCCTCAGAGAAGTGTGCACTGACCACCCTATTTCAGATGATATGCTCCTCTTCTTTATCTCACTGTATTCTTGTTCCTTAACGATTACTATAATCTAGAAAGGTCTTGCCAATATACCGTGCATGGTTTATGATCTGTCTCCTGCACTCGTGAGCACCACAGGGGTAATGACTTTGCCTTTTTGCTGCTGGATTTATAATATTTGTTGGCACCTGGCACTGAGGGGGGAATCACTGTTAGTTGAGTGAATCAATGAATAAG